AAAGAAAATATTCTCTTTGCATTTGGGTGTGTGGATTTGGATTTGGCCCTATGTGTGGATGAACCACCCATCCCCGGCGATTCGAGTGATGCAAAGGAAAAGACTAGTTATGAGTAGTAGGAGCGATCTAATCGCTTAAGTTTAATGCTCACAAAGTCTCGTATAAATAAGAGTATTAGGGGTTCAATCCCCGAATGCTTTAAGGCAAAAGATTTCCGAAGACCATAGAGGAATAATTTGTTCATTTTGATAAGGCATTAGCCAACACCTTAATGAAAAAGCTTTTTGACAAGTCATTTGACTATTCTAAAGGTGTGCGTGAGCACATTATGGAAATAAAGGACACCGCTCGCTTAATTAAAGTCTTTAGAGATAGAGATTTCCGAGTCATTCTTGGTGCATTTCATTTTGAACTCTCTCCCTGCAGAATATGGTCCGTTTAAGATTTCTTATAACACACATAAGGAAAAATGGTCAACTAATGAATTATTGACCTTGAGTGTTCAAGAAGAAGGGAGATTGAAACTTGAAAAACTTGAAAGTGCTCATTTGGTTTCTTAAGCTAAGGGAAATTTCAAGAAGAGTAAAAATGTTCTAAAAGTAAAGAAATATGAAAATATGCCTATAAAGAAAAATGGCAATAATAGTAAATGTTTCTTTTGTAAGAAATTAGGACATGTTAAGAAAGATTGCCCTAAGTACCAAAAGTGGCTCGTGAAGAAAGGTAAACTCATCTCTTTAATGTGTCATGAATCTTTTTTTATTAAGACTCTTAATAATACATGGTGGATTGATTCTGGTTTTACAATCCATATTGTGAATACCATGCGAGGCTTTTTGAACCTAAGGAAGCCGAAAGGAAATAAAAAAGGCATCTATTCAGGAAATCGGATACACTCTAAAGTTGAAGTCGTGGGAACTTTTAGATTAATTTTAAAATCTGAATTTATTTTGGATTTGGAAAATGTTTTTTATATTCCATCATTTTCTAGAAATTTGATTTCAGTTTTCATACTATTTAGTATTGGCTATGGATTTTTGTTTAATGAAAACATTTTTAGTATTTTGAAAAATAAAATTTCTATTGGTGGTGGAACATTAATTGATGGTTTATATAAAATTGATCTAGACCCCACTTTTGAGCTCAACTATTTATCAATGCATGTTAATACAGGTATTAAAAGGAGTAAAATTGATGAGAATTCCTCCATATTATGGCATAAGAGATTAGGTCACATCTCCATTGAAAGAATTAAAAGATTGGTGAATGATGGAGTTTTAAACGCTCTTGATTTTACTGATTTTGGTATTTGTGTGGATTGCATAAAGGGAAAGCAAACTAACAAAACCACTAAAAGTGCCATGAGTAGCTCAAAAATTTCAGAAATCATACACATTGACATATGTGGATCGTTTAATACTCCTTGCCTAAATGGTCGGAGATATTTTATCTCATTCATTGATGACCATTCTAAATTAATGTATCTTTATCTTTTACATGATAAGGCTGAAGCACTTGATGCTTTTAAGACCTTTAACGTTGAGGTAGAGAAACAAAAGGAAAAGACCATTAAGATTGTGAGGTCCGATAGAGGTGGAGAGTATTATGATAGGTACACTCGAAAAAGGATAAATGCTAGGTCCATTTATAAAATTCCTTGAAGGATAGGGCATTATTGCACAATATACAATGCTTAGCAAACCACAACAAAATGATGTAGTTGAAAGAAGGAAACTTACTCTTATGGACATAGTGAGGAGCATGATTAGTAATTCTAATTTACCATTATCCTTATGGAGTGAAGCATTAAAGACTACCGTGTATATTCTAAATAGGGTTCCATCCAAAGTCGTCTCTAAGACACCTTTTGAATCATATACATGTATGAGGTTATCCTATTAACGTAAGGATTTATAATCCTCAATTAAAGAAATTAAACCCTAGAACAACCAAGTGAATATTTCATTGGTTATGCAGTAAACTCTAAAGGATATAGGTTTTATTGTCTTTCTCATAGTACAAGAATAGTAGAGGCAAGAAATGCTAAATTTCTTGAGGATCTTAACCTTAATAGGAGTGATTTTCCTCGAAGCATAGAATTTGAGGAAACACAATATTCAACTGTGTTGTATATGATAAAAGGAAATTGGTTATTGTTCAAGAAAGTCAATTAGATAATGTTGAACAACAACCAATTCTCGAGCAACAAGTTCAAGAGCAATTAGTTTTTGATGAGCCAAACCCATATGAAGATGTTGAATTAAGAAGATCTTTAAGAGTAAGGAGACCAATAATTTCTAATGACTATGTTGTATACCTTCAAGAGTCCGACTTTGATGTTGGACTTAAGAATGATCCAAACTCGTTTTCATAAGCCATGAATGGAGAAAACTCCAATTTATGGTATAATGCCATGAAGGAAGAAATGGAGTCTATGCATAAAAATCAAGTTTGGGACCTCGTCGAATTACCAAAAGGATTTGTAGTCATTGGTTGCAAATGGGTTTATAAAACCAAGAGAGATTCTTACGGTAATATTGAACGATATAAAGCTAGACTTGTGACTAAGGATTATACCCAAAAGGAAGGCATATACTATCATGAGACCTTTTCTCCAATCTCTAAAAAAGATTCATTCAAAATAATAATGGCATTAGTAGCTCATTTTGATTTGGAGCTACATCGGATGGATGTGAAAATCGTATTTTTAAATGAAAATTTAGATGAAGAGGTATACATAAATCAGCCTTAAGGTTTTTATGATGATACAAATAGCCACTTGGTTTGTAAGCTAAAAAGATCTATATATGGGCTAAAGCAAGCCTCTCGAAAGTGGTATATTAAGTTTCACAATGTTGTTACCTCATACTATTTTATTGAGAACATTGTTGATCAATGCATATACCTTAAAGTTAGTGGGAGCAAATATATTTTTCTTGTCCTATATATAGATGATATTTTGCTTGCATGTAGTGAATTGGGTTTGCTTCATGAGACTAAGCAATTTCTTTCTCAAAACTTTGATATAAAAGATTTAGTTGAAGCCTCTTATGTCATTGGCATGAGATTCACAGAGACATATCTCAAAAAATATTAAAACTCGTCTCAAAAAGCCTACATTGAAAAAGTCTTGGAAAGATTCAAGATGTCAAATTGTGCATCTTCGGTAGCACCCATTGTCAAAGGGGATAAATTCAATCCGAATCAATGTCCATAAAATGCATTGGAAAAGGAACAGATGAGTAACATTCTTTATGCATCCGAAGTAGGCGAGTTTGATGTATGTACGAGTTTGTATAAGACTCGACTTGGCATTTGCAATAGGAATGCTAGGTAGGTTCCAAAGCAATCCTGGAATAGACCATTGGAAAGCTCGCTAAGAAAGTCATGAGATATCTACAAGGAACCAAGAATTATAGATCGACTTACAGACATACTAATCACCTCGAGGTGATTGGTCATTCGCATTCGAATTTTACCGATCGTGTAGACACAAGAAAGTCTACTTCATGATATATTTTTCTTCTTACTGGAGGAGTTGTGTCTTGGAGAAGCACTAAGCAAACTATTGTTGCTTCATCTACTATGGAAGCGAGAATTCATTGCATGCTATGAAACAACGACACGAGCTATTTGGTTAAAAAACTTCATTTCCGGTCTACAAATTGTCGACTCCATATCAAGACTAGTAAAGATTTATCGTGACAATTCGGCTACGGTTTTCTTCTCTAAGAATAATAAAAATGGAAGTCGAAATAAGCATATCGATATAAAGTATCTCATTATGAGAGAGAAAGCGAAGGAACATGAAGTGCTCATTGAGCATATTAGCGCGAGCTAATGATTACGGATCCTATGACTAAAGCGACTGTCGGCAAAATAGTATAGAGATCATGTGGATCGTATGGGTTTAGCTAACCCATTTATTGTTTGACTTCATTTTCTTTTATTGATCTGTTTAGACATTTTTTAAGTTGTTCTTAGAGATTGATGTGATTTTTGTGCACATAAAGTATTATTTTTATATTTATTTTGATATATAAAATTGGACTCGAATGACTTATTAGAAGTTCATTCATAAAGTTTATTTGCTCATTAAGTGCTTATTTTAAGAATGTAATATATTATAATACTTGGAAGGAAGTGCTTAGTTATAAAGCATGACCACTATGATTCATATATTGCATTCTTAATCGAAGTATAAGTGATTCCACTAACTAATCATTCCGAACTCTATAAAGAAATTGTCATTTGTAGGTAGTGTCATATTGAGCAAGTGGGAGAATGTAAGAAATATTCATATAATGTGGCACATGTGTCATGTTTTATTTTAAATCTATAAGTGATAATTTAAAGACTTAGAGTCCAATGAACTTTAATGGTGGGCTAGGCACATCGATGATGGATGGAGGTGCAAAATTAGGTTAAAGAAAGAATTTCGATCTAACCATATAAATAGTAAGTAAAGCTTGTGTTTTTCATCAACATACACCAAATCTTAAAGTATTAGCATAGACTACAATACTCTCTCTTTCTTTGATGGCTACAGCTTTTTTTAATAATATCTTGAGTACTTAATCAATTATGATAAAAAATATATATCCTATTAATTTTTGTCTACGCTTGTATGCTTATGCATATTTAATTTTCTTACATATTCTACGTATAACAAAAATCTTGTCGTGTAAATTTTATACCACGGTTTCACTCAGTCTCAACAAAAGCATGTCGTCCAAATTGGTACAGTGAGAGTGAGCGCGTGCGCTTTTGAGTTCTTGACCACAAATAGGCATTGCAAGACTCCCATCACATGTCAAAATTCTGGCGCTGGCCGCCGACGGCCAACAAGATAACACCATCTTACGTGTCAAGCTTCTATTGGCCAACCTTTACCTATTTAATGTTTTCCTCTTCTTGACCGCCTCCATTAACGGCCATCAAAGCTCTCTCTCATGTCTTCTCGACAGTTTCTCTTTCTAAAACTTTAATTTCTCGCAAAATGATTAACAATTTACTTCTCGTCGTCTCTCCGAACCCGAAGCTCTGCTTCGATCGAACTTCAAAACTCAACTTTGACCGCGTTGACTTCAATGCTAGCCTCTCTACACGTCGCCGTTTGGCTCTCCGGCCACGTGCGATCCGTAACTTCACCATCTCAAGTTCTCTACAAACCGAAAATAACCTTCCAAACGCTGAGCTTGAAGCTCCGAACAACAACAATTCGCCGATTCTTCTTGATGTGACCGGAATGATGTGCGGCGCGTGTGTTTCGCGCGTCAAGTCGGTACTCTCCGCGGACGAGAGAGTTGAGTCTGCTGTGGTCAACATGTTGACCGAGACGGCGGCGGTGAAGTTGAAACCGGAGGCTTTGTTGGAGGGAGAAATGTCGGCTAGTATTGCTGAGAGTTTAGCCAAGAGATTGAGTGTGTGTGGATTTGAAGCGAAGAGGAGGGCATCGGGGAGTGGAGTGGCAGAGAATGTAAAAAAGTGGAAAGATATGGTTAAGAAGAAAGAGGAGTTGATCGTTAAGAGTAGGAATCGCGTGGTTTTTGCTTGGGCTTTGGTTGCTTTGTGTTGTGGATCTCATGCTTCTCATATTTTGCACTCTCTTGGCATTCACGTTGGTCATGGTAATTACACCGACACTCTTTATCATGTGTGTAATGCACACACGGTAACGCAATGCAATGCATCAGTCATTTCAATCCTAATAACTGACTGATGCTACTTTCAAGATCTTAAGATGGATGGCAGCGGAAATTTCAAATTTTGTTAACTTGCCTATATGTGGTTTTTGGAGTAGGTTCGTTTTTGGAGGTGCTGCATAATTCGTATGTGAAGGGAGGCTTAGCTTTGGGAGCTCTATTGGGACCAGGAAGAGGTAATTAGTTGCCTTGGCAGTATCATTTTTCTCAAGCTTGTTAGATTTATATATCTTCTGCATAGGATTCAGCAAGAATTCATTTGATCATGCATACTCTGTTATGTTTCCTGTGGGACCAATTGTGGAATGTAAACAAGTTTTGTTCTTTATGAAATTTGGATCACCAATTAACATTTTTCCTAACTGATTATTGTACTTCTGCTTTCAAATTTGTCTGTCTTGATATTTTACTCGTGTTAAACTGACAAAGGGTTATCTAGCAATCGATAAAATCTTTTTGATTTTGACTTAAGAGAAATTCTTTTGCAGACTTGCTTTCTGATGGTCTGAGGGCATTCAAGAAGGGATCGCCAAATATGAATTCTCTTGTGGGATTCGGATCTATTGCTGCATTTATCATCAGTGCGGTGAGACCCTGAGTCAGTGCTAGGATTTGTATTTCGCTCACATTGCAAAAGAGTTCATTTTGCTAAGTTTTGTCCCGAATTCTTCTCTCTTGTAGGTCTCACTTCTCAACCCTGAGCTCAAATGGGATGCATCTTTCTTTGATGAACCGGTGACTTGCTTATTTTCAGAATTTGCACTTTCTTGTCGAAGTTTTTATTTTATGTTTCTTGATTATATGATAAATTTATTGATCTTCCGAGCTGAGTGTGACATAATCCTCAACTCAGCCAAAGTTTAGTCCCTGGCACTGTTGAGACATCTTGAATGCCCTCGCCCATCTTATTATTATACAAAAACTTTTTACATGTATTGGCCACTAGTTTTCTGTGTATTACAGCCAGAAGTTAGCTTTTACTTTATGTCTCAGTAGCAAGTTTCTCATGGATGGCTCTTGCTTTTTAGTGTGCAGGTCATGCTTCTTGGTTTTGTGCTTCTAGGACGTTCTCTTGAAGAAAAGGCGAGGATCAGGGCATCTAGTGATATGAATGAACTTCTTGTAAGTAGTAACGACTTTTATATCTATTATTGCGAGGAGTAAATGGGATGCTTAGTTGATTCCCATGTGAAATCCAACTCTTGTTAATCCCAGTAAATTGTTTATCTGATGGGTATTTGTTATACACACAAACACAGCCATTTCTTCAAGCTGAGACAATCTTGGTCCTCTTCCTCCTGTACTCTCTGTGGCATTTGACCTTTGTTGCATCAAGTTTATTTGCTTTCATAGTTGAATAGCACTGTTATTGGCCAATTCATGGAAATTTGAGTAAACACTTCAACAGCAAAACACTTTATTAGTTTCTGAAACATTGTGATGCGATATGTTTCATATATTTCCGTTCAATGCATTGCTGCACTATCTCAGTGCATTGATTTTAGACTGATTATGCATTTTTCAAAGGATGAAAGAGCATTGCTTGTTGTGAGGAGCATGCTTGTCTAAGCATTGATGACTGACATTGTTTTTCAGACAACCCGACTGTTGTTAAGCTTCCTTATGTTAGGCTTAATTAATGGCTAGCTGCTTTAGATTGCTTGTCTGTTGTTTTGTTGTTGAGTGACCAAAACAAGTGATTGATAAGCTTTATTGTTAACTGCAAGATGCATGAGTTTTATTTTTGAATTGTATTAAGTAAGCTTTAATTATTGTGGATATGTAATAACCTCTGTGATTTCATTGATCTGGTTGGTTTTGCAGTCACTCATGTCCACTCAGTCACGACTTGTAATTTCTTCATCGGATAGCAATTCCCCGATGGATGCTGTTCTTTACTCCGATTCTATTTCCACTGAAGTCCCCACTGATGATGTTCGAGTTGGAGACACAGTGTTAGTTCTACCTGGAGAAGCTATTCCTGTAGATGTAAGCATCACATATTCTTTATCATATTTCTCATGGTTTTATAAGTTTATGTTGATTTTCCGTTCTCCATTTTTTGTGCTTAATTTATATATGATAACTCTTTTTTCATTGAGCCAAGTCTCTAGATCTGTGTGCAGTTTGTGAATGCACTACTTATTTACAACACTATAAGGCACACATAAATTTTGCATAGATTTTGATTTTTGTCGCAAGCAAACATCTTTAGAAGTACTGAAAGAAGGAATCCTAAATTATGCTTCAATGACACAATGCGAATGGTATATATTTAGTTGCATTACTTTCTATATATCCATGAATGTTACAAACCATGTCTTCATTTTCAATCATATAAATGTTGTGTATTCAGATGTTCAACTAGTTTGCTCAATCTTCTTCTTCTTCTTTTTTTTTTTTTTTCAAATGAGAATGGATAAGCTTAGATTAAAAGGCAGCAAAAAAAGTGGCAGGAAAAAATTACAAAGTTATAAAGATTAGAACTAGGCTAGCAATTCCTCTTGTCTGCTAATACTATACTTAGCTAGGCTATCAGCTACAACATTTTTTGCTCTATTTACTCGAGCAAAACAAACAGATTTCGGCTTACTAAAAAGAGAAGTAATACTATTGAAATTACAGTCTAACTTTTAAGGCTTGTCACATGAACTCTTGTGAATTCAATTGATAGCATTGGAAGAATCTGATTCAAAAATCCAATATACTTGTTGTGCTAGGAGATGAGAAACACGCAACTCTAGAACCCTTTTGATTGCAATAATTTCTGTTTTATTGGAGTTTTTAATGTTGGTTGGACCTTAAAAATGCATAAGAAACACCTCTCATGATATCTAAGAACACTACCAACACCTAAAGCAGCTGGTTTCTCCATTGATAAGCCATCTACATTACATTTTAGAAATCCAACACCCAGCTTACTACAATCTTCAGCTACCTGATTTCGAATTTTGTTGGATTAATTATGAATACCATCCGAGCTACGAAGTAGATCATTCTCTTTGTATACAAAATTGTCATCAACAACCTTTGTCTGATAAGAAACTTTGCAAAAGAGAAGGGAGAACAAATATTCTCTATTTGGATTCACGTTGTTAAAAACCAGATTATTCATTGCCAGCCATATGATCCAAAACAAAACAAGTAAGACTAATTATCATTCATACTTTCTTCTGCAATTTTTTTTTTTTTTAAAGATCCTATTGTTGGAAAAGATCATCTACATTGCTTGGTATTGGCCATAAACACCCCCACCAGCACATAAGTTTAGACCACAAACATCAAGTCTGACGATAATAAAGAAGTAAATGAGATGTAGTTTCTACCTCTAATTCACAGAACGGACATACTGTCATTCTCATCCTCAAGGCCAATGCGATTGAGGAAATCTCTAGCGTGCAACTTTCCATAAACTTTTAGCCATAAGAAATCTTCGACATTTGTGAGAGCTAATGATTTCCACACATGGGAATTTATAATAGAGTCACTGACAAGATGTATTGAATTAAGAATTGAACAAGATTTAATAGTAGAAACTCTTGTATCATGAATCCAAATACACTGATCCTCCACTTCTTGGTACAAAACCACAGCTCCAATGTTATTCAATAATTCGGCTTTTAAATCTATCTCCCATGGTCTTAAAGCACTGGATCAAACCACCTTCCCAATCCATCTAGAATCACACAACATACTCTTATCAATAGTCACACCATCTTTAGTTCCGTTAGTATATACAAAAAACCAAAAAAAGCATCACACTGACAAATGTCAACCTAAATATTCGTCCAAAACAAAACTACTTTCTCATTTCCAACATTGAATCTACAGCCGTCCCTAACAGTTGTTGAGTATTGACTTGAACTTGTGAACACCAAGCAAATATCATCTCAATAAGTAGATAAACAGCTAGAGAAGCATGGTAACCCATTAACAAGGTTCAGATTATACTTCAAAATAAAAGATTGCCAACCAGAAGTACTGCTACTGCTTAACCTCCAAACCCACTTGAAAAGTAAAGTTTTATTTTTCACCATGATTGATTTGAGACCTAATCCCCCATGATGTTTGGACCACTTGACCATGCTGCAAACTACCTTACAAGCTTTCCTCTTATCGTAAGTTCCACTCCAAAGGTATCTATGTTAGAGAGAAATTAATGTCTTGGCCACGCCTTTTGACATTTTAAACTTAGACCAATAAGAGACTGGAATACTCGACATATTGATTTCAATAAACAAATGTGACCTCCCAAAGAGATAAAACTTTCCTCTCTAGCTTTGAAGTCGTTTCTGCACCTTGGCAATCATAGGTTTTCATATAGAAATTCATTAAGAGCTTGCTCCTCTAGATAATTAAAAGGGAAAGAGCCAACTTTGCATCTTAATCGAGCTGTCATGGCATTGCTGAAATGAGAGCTAACGTTAAAACCAATCAGATAACTCTTATAAAAGTTCACTGTCAATCACGAACATAGATGAAACCAACACAAAATCCTCTCTGCATTCAACAGACTGTCAATATTAGCTGGGAAAAGTTTAATAGTTCAACATATTGAAGGTGGCTTACCCTGAGTTTCTATCTAGATGAATATTGTTAAAAATACCAAGCTCATGAGCTCTAGTGAATAGCATTGCAAGTCCTTCTACAGAAAAGTTAAATAGGAAAGGGGAGAGAGGGTCTCCTTGTTGAATACTTCTAGCCACATTAAACTCTGAAGTAAGGGATCCATTAACAAGTGCTCCTAGGTGGGATGTCGAGATACATTGCTGAATCTAATATTGCTACTTGCAACCAAAACCGATATAGTCCATAATTTGAGTAAAATAATCCCAGTTTACTGAATCAAAAGCTTGTTTGGTTAATCTCTGAATTCTCTACTTCTTCATACTATCCACCACCTCATTAGCAATCAAAGGCATTATCTAAAATTTGTCTCCCAGCTATAAAGGACGATTGACTATCATTAACAACTTAATGCATAACTTTCTTAAGCCTCAAAAATAGAATCTTAGCAATAATTTTGTAAAGATCATTCACCAGGCTAATAGGTCTAAATTTTACAAATGAGACAACATCACTAACCTTACACATCAAATTGACGAAAGCAGTATTAGTACCTTTCGACAACTAGCCAGTGCTCAAAAATTCTGAAACCATATCAAATATATCTGTCTCAATCAGGTGTCATATCTTTTTATAAAAGGTAAAATTCAAACCATCTGGCTTTGGGGCCTTACTACCATCGCAGTCCCAAGAACCTTTTTAAACCTCCTCTAAAGTAACCAATTTTTCCGGTCATGAAGCCAAAACAGAACCAAGCCTCCAAAAAGCATCACTACCCATACATGGTGTACTCCAAAAATCATTAGCAAAGAGGTTAGAAAAGAAATTAGCCACTTCCAACTTGATCTCTTGCAGGTCAGATAACACACTATCATCCACTACTATCTTTGAAATTGAATTTTTTCCTGCCTCTAATCGAAACTCAAGTGGAAAAATCTAGTATTCCTGTCACCAAGCCTAAACCAAGTAGCTCTAGGTTTTTGCCTCCAAAGCGATTCAAGCCTTATACTAACCTCCCATAACTCAACAAGCACGAAAATTCTTCAACTCATCTTGAAGTACAGGCTGATGCTCCTTAACCAATTCCAAATATTTTACTTTGCTCTCCAAATCTTTAAGTTGTCCATTCAAAGCACCAAAAATTATAAAATTTTGGTCCTTGTCGTTTCAAGAAGCTCAACTTCTTAATCACACTAAACCAGTTAGGATACAAACAACAAGACTGCTCCCACATGTTCTGAAGGGAATTGATGAATTGAGGATGAGACCACCAGCAATCCAAGCTTTTAAATGGCCTTCGACCCATGGAATACCATCCGACCCCAGAAGTATCGGGCAATGATCCGACAATCTTCTATTAAGGCCTATGAGCTTAATATTAAAAAAATGCAACATCCAATCAAAACTAGCGAAAGCCCTGTCAATATAGCTCATGGAATCAGCTCTGTACAAAGCAAACCTATGACTAGACAACAAAAATTCAGCTAGTTTTTAGATATTCAAAAAATTCCCAAAATCAGGAGCTCCGTTGCTTTGTACTCTACCACAAGCTCTATCTGAAGCTTGCAGTGCTTCATTAAAATCACCAATTAATACCCATGGAACATCAAAAACTGAATTAAGAATAGTGAGCTCCTCCCACATCTTATTCCCTTCTGAAATATCACATGAACAAAGCAATTCAACTACTACTATAAGGAAGAAGCATTTCTCCGCATAACTATCATCCCTCCTGAACTACCAATCGAACTCAAACTCATACATCTAATTTCAGAAAGTTTTGTTTCTAAATGACATACAAGAGCTATCTGATGAGCACTAATAATATTCTGAATAAATCTTCTCTCATTCAAATTACCAATACCTCTACAATTCCAATATGCTATCGACATAAAAGTTTTCCAAAGCTTCTAACCTTGCTCTTTCTGACTTATCAAATCAGAAAGCTTCTTTCTGCTCCTTGTCCTCCATCACAATTTGTTTGGTGATCGAAAATTCTAGGTTAGTAGTTTTGTCAACCACCCTTAAAGCTACACCAATTTTCAAAGTTTCCTCCAATTCCACTTCATTATTCTGATCAGAATTGGCTTCAATACAAGGTGCATATTGCCTAATTCTTTCATTGGCTATTGTAATCATAGCATCTTCACTAGTCTCCCCAATGTTGGACATATAGAGCCTTCCCTTTCTTTTTCCTTTTGTAAGTTATAAGTGAAGTGTCCTGACAGCGTAAGTCTAAGCTTAAGACAGGTTCAACCCTATCCATCTAATTCATATGTATATTTGGAAGCACATCATCTGAACCTAATCTCCTTATAATCCATTTTTGTAATCCACTAAACTGAAGTCCATATTAATTGTTTCTTTTTCTTCATAATTAATCTCAAATTCCCCATTTGAATTCAAATCTTGATCTCTATTAAACTCAGAGTTGCCATTTGAATTCAAATTCTGATCTCCACTAATAATGCCTATGATTTTTTTAAACAGCATTGGAGGAGTTTTAATTAGTTCAACAGCCAAATCTTCCATGTTGGATCCTACTTCCTACCTAGCAGCACAAACAACAATGATTAGTCACATCATCAATCCATCTCACATCAGCTGCCACATAATCATCTTCATCCTCCTGGTCCATTGTAGTGTTCATGGTGAACCTGACTTTGTTGAATTCCAGAAAAATCGAGTGCACAGTTTCTTTAACGCTAACTTGGCGTAGAACACAATCAAGGACCAAACTAACACTTTTATCCAACCTAGGCTGACATGGAATAGCTATCAGAATCGTAGCATCTTGGAGATTAAGAATTTTTACTGTCAATTCACCCAAACCAATCACTCTTCCAAATGATTTTAAAATTAAGACAAAACAAATCTTTATTCCGTCCCATGAGTGGGAATCCAACAATTTCCACACAGCAAAAACTATCATTACCTGTAGCAGAAGGTATCCATGGTCTAGTCCCCTCCAAAAAGCGCAATCCCCTCAAAAAACAAGTCAACAATGGTATTCATGTCCTCCGTTGCTCCTAGCATATCCTCTAATGATTCAACTCTAATCAGAGCTTGTTAAGCACCAAGAAATCATAAATGGAATGATTGTAAATCAAGTTTTTTCAAATCATTCTGTATAGGACAATACTTTACAACATCCGAAATTTCACCAATCAAGCTTCTTTCCAGCCATTCCAAATCCTCATCCATAGTTTGATATTCTAAAGAAGGTTTACCAGGTTTCAATTTTGGTCTTTGTGCAGTTTTCGGGTGTACAATCTCTGCATACGTTTTGTCATCACGTAACTTTAGTGGCATAGGGCATGGTTGTTTTTCCCTCCAGTGCCTTTTCATCCCTTCACCATCAACAAGTCCTTGTCTTTGTCCTTCTTCTACATACACCTTCCTCCTGTCAAATCTTGTCAAATTCACTTTCAATTTGTAGGAACCAAACCATATGTCATTCAATGCTGGGAGTAGAGTGTCATCTGCAACTATGCCTTCAGTTGAACAAAGCCAAATGGTCTGTCCAGTTTGGTTTTTTTCTCCGCTAGGAAAATGTCTAAGACTGTACCAAACTTTGAGAATTCCTTCAACACCGTTGGGTCAATCCATTAGGGAATCTCTCCAAGAAAAATTTGTTTCTCAAACCAGTAGGTGAGGTAGATGATGATGGATTTGCTTGGTGGGAAAGGGCAGGGTTAGGGTTATGGTGTTTTGGTTGAGGGGGTGGTGGCCGTTTGGTGGGGTTTGGGTTTTTTGGATGCGGAGGGTTTTTGGTAGAGAGCATTCTTCTTCTTTCTTTTTTTTTATATATATATATATATATATATATATATATATAGCATGATTGTCCGATCTACTTGAAAATGACAATGACTTTTTGATGGATTCATACAAAAGTCCATAGACCTCCTTTTTATTTAGGGTTATATAGTTTCCTTTAAAACCAAAAGGATCTTGCTGATGATTTGACAAGCAAGAGCCAGTATTTCAATCTGCAATGTCATTTGAATCTCAGTAGCATGCATGTTTGACTCAGCTGAAATTAAATATTCCCATTATAGGGAAGAGTTCTTGCAGGAAGAAGTGTTGTGGATGAATCCATGCTTACTGGGGAATCACTGCCTGTATTTAAGGAAAAAGGGCTCAAAGTCTCAGCTGGAACAATAAACTGGGTATGATTATATTTTTAAATTGCAAGAGAATGTATATATGCTATAACTATTTCATCACTGCTTATATTTGTGAACTGAGTGGCACTTTTGTATTGATGCATTTATTACCTTCAGATGATTGGGATTAGCCTTGTGGGTTGTCACAGTAAAGCTACAGTGTAGCACCAAAGTTGTCTCTTTCTTTTCTTCTTTTTTGTTAACGAGCATAAAATTGTTTTGCTAACTTTTGTCAATATCTCACGCTGAAGTAACTCTTTTGAACATGGAATAGAAAATCCTGTTATTGTTACTTCTTCAACACCCCACCCACCCCGCCTCATTTTATGCTTTGTTATTACATTGTTGACAACCATCATTCTTAAAAAATGTTTCAGGATGGTCCTTTAAGGATAGAGGCATTGTCTACTGGCTCCAACTCAACGTTATCTAGGATCATTCGTATGGTTAGTTAATTGTCCCTTTTTTTCATTTGTCGCGCTCTTGTTAAAAGTATAATAAGCATCTAATACAGAGGGATAAACAGATTTGCTTTTATTTTTTATTACTTCATAGTAGGTCATTGTGTGACCTTAAATAATATTCCCATGACATTTTGTGGAATAGTTCATTTACATCTGGAAAAAGTGCTGCTTATTTGCCAACTGAGTGCAGAGGCAGGTATCAACTATATAAGACTGAAAGGAAAAGAAGTAAATTTCTATCGGTGTAGAAAAATGTTTAGCCTTTCTCCATACATGTGCCTTGAGTATGCAATAAAGTAAATTCAATTAATAATGGAGTTCAGTACGTTACCAAAAAGGAATTAAAAGGATGCAGATCCATGAAACCGATCTCAACTAGTTTGATATTGAGGCTTGATTTGAATTGAGTTGATTACTAGACTGTTATGCAAAGTAGAGCGAGACTGGTTCTGTATTATTTAGTCTTGATCAGCCTTCTTAAACAAAAAATTGTAGGGAATATTCATCCTTCATGATAATGGCATGCAGGAAATATTAAAATGATTATTTAGAGTATTGTGGCATTAACTTGGCACATTTGCATGAGCAGTTCCAAAGCCCGCCTAGAGCTTTATTGACTGAATGAAAGTTAACGTCTAGATGAATAGTGCTGGCTGGTTTATAGTATTTGGGAATTATAACCTGACAGCATGAAAAACTTAAAACTTCTTTACAATAGTTAAAGCTTTATGGTATAATTTCAGGTTGAGGATGCTCAAGGCAATGAAGCACCTATACAAAGGCTTGCAGATTCAATAGCTGGACCTTTTGTTTATAGTGTAATGACTATATCTGCAGCAACATTTGCATTTTGGTAGGGTTTGTTTCACACTTTTTCATAGCACCTGTTCATATCAACTTGTTAGTATCTAGGTTGCAACATGGATGATGATAATGATGTTATTGATTTATCAAAATCAACAAAGGCATAATAGAGGCACTTTCTTTGTTGGGTTTCTTGTTTACCCGCCTAAAAGACCTTGTTCCCTTTATTTAGGTCACACAAATCCATATTTTAGTTTCTGCATTTTTTAGATAATGAAATTTAAATTGCTTGATTTATTGATTTCCATTTATCAGGATAGCCTTCAACTTGAAGCAGATAACTCATGTTTCTTGCTGATAGGAGTGGAAGTGGTTTTACTCAGTCATGAACTTTTGACTTACTTCAAATTTTTCTTAGCTTGTTCTTGGTTGAATAATAACGCTTATTTCTCACTAAGGTTTCAGTCGTAAATGTAAATTTCCATGAACTTTTGCTTGCTTTATTAGTTTCCATTTATCAGGATAGCCTTCAACTTGAAGCAGATGACTCATGTTTCTTGCTGACAGGAGTGGAAGTGGTTTTACTCAGTCATGAACGTTTGACTTACTTTGAATTTTTATTAGCTTGTTCTTGGTTGAATAATAACATTTATTTCTCACTAAGGTTTCAGTCGTAATCGTAAATTTATAGTTTTATCTTTCTTGCTTCTCACACTATGTTGCATGGCATTCAGGTATTGCATTGGTTCACATGTTTTCCCTGATGTTTTGCTCAATGATATTGCTGGACCAGATGGAGATCGTTTGCTGTTGAGCTTGAAACTTTCCGTGGATGTCTTGGTGAGTGGACTTGCCTCCTAGTGAATATTGATATATTCTCCAACCTAACTATCATAACCTATTTAACTGAGCTTGAAGCTGTATATGCAATTTCTTTTTGTTTCTTGATTGTGACATTAATTGTCATTCCAGGTAGTTTCCTGCCCATGTGCACTGGGACTTGCCACACCCACAGCAATCCTAGTTGGAACATCGCTTGGTATTGTTCTAACTTGTCAGTTGTTTCTTTCAAGTTTAATACCCTGTACACAAAGTATTAAGTCAAAGTCACTTCTATTATAGTGGAGCTTGGTACTTACCATTATGAGATTGAAGTTTCTTCATTTCAGTGATAACAGCCTACTTCACATAAAGGCTGGTTTGTCCAGCTCTCTCTCTCTCTCTCTCTCTCTCTATATATATATATATATATTTCTTTTGATAATGCTTGACACCAAGAACATTAAAATAATAATAATAATAATAATAATTTTGGCAAATGCCCCACATTAAGCACAAGGTTCTGGACCTTCCATATACATTTGAATTTGAGTTCAAAGATATTGAACTCATTTTTTGTGTTTCTGACCAGAAGCAAAGTCTCATATCATGCGCCTAATGATTACTGTTCTTTTAGAAATGCTAAGTTCCCTTTCTTTCGAAAACATTAGGAGCAAAGCAAGGACTTCTAATTAGAGGAGGAGATGTATTGGAACGCTTAGCAAGCATTAATTATGTTGCTCTAGATAAGGTTAGTTCTATATTTAATAGAACTATGCTCTCTTTCTCTCTCAACAGACACACAACGCACAATGCACAGTCGTTTGAATTGAGATTGATATATGAAATAACTCATGAAATTAATGCATTTGACTTCTGATCATTGAGAACCTTCACACTCTGTTCTTGCACATTTTCCAATTTTCAGACAGGAACCCTTACTGAAGGAAAACCTGCAGTTTGTGCTGTGGCCTCAATCTCTTACAAAGAATCAGAAATTCTTCAAATGGCAGCTGCTGTAGAGAAAACAGCATTGCATCCCATTGCAAGAGCTATTGTAAACAAAGCAGAATCATTGAAATTGACTATCCCGGTAACAAGAGGGCAATTGACAGAACCAGGTTTTGGAACCTTAGCTGAAGTAGATGGAAATTTGGTTGCTGTTGGTTCTTTGGATTGGGTTCACGAACGATTCCAGAGAAGGACAAACCTCTCTGGTCTAAAGGATCTGGAAACTAAAGTGATGTGTCAGTCGTCAGAAGGGATGTCATCATCAAACCATTCAAAAACAGTTGTCTATGTTGGATGTGAAGGGGAAGGCGTTATTGGTGCTATTGCAGTATCAGACAGTTTGCGCTATGATGCCGAATCTACTGTAAGTAGGTAAATTGCTTTCTCAACTGATATAGTTCTGAGTAAATTTTGTTGCAATTTGCTGTGACAGCTTTCCTTTATTCTTAACGCACGTGCGACTCAGGTTTTGTAAGTAGAAGTTCCAATTTGATTTCTCCCCTCCATGACTAGCAGACTTGTTCTTAGTATCTCCAACTGGAATTAGTGAAATGTTTTCATTATTTTCCTGATAGTTGTTTGGTAAATACTTAGTTTTCTAAAATCCAAACAGAAGCATTGCTTAGAACTCTTCAAGACAATCATAGCGATGCACAATGCACTAGACGTTTTTCTTTTGTCTCTGTATTTGGTCAGTTTGTGACAATATTGGCCAGCCACTAAAGAAGTTCTAGAGTATTCCCTGGCTCTTAAATCATGATAGGAGCTTAGGTACAGGCTTTGCAGAGGATTTGTACTTTAGTACTTGGTCCTAATTACTAGGTGCAGTTGGCGGAACTTGGATGATAACTAACAAGCTGTGTGGATACGGACTTAAAATCAATTTACTATCCTTGCATCATGCGTACTGATATAAAATCTTCTACTAGCTATCTAAGCACATTATTTGCTGCTTTATTCTCTTGTTTGTTTTGATTTGATTGGTAGGCTCCAGCAGAAGGGTATCAACACAGTCCTTTTATCAGGAGACAGGAAAGAGGCAGTAGCAACCATTGCAAACAGAGTTGGAATTGGAAGTGAATTTATCAATGCATCCTTGACTCCGCAGCAAAAATCTGAAGCTATATCAAGTCTTCAAGCTGCAGGGCATCGTGTTGCAATGGTAACCTTTATCTACCTATCTCATCTCTAGTGACTCCAGAATTTTATTTTGATCTAGACAAAAAAATACATGACAATAATCGTCTCATCTGGGTAAGAAATCCATTCATTGAAAGTTAATTGGAGGAGAAATTGAAATATTGACTGAATAATTGCTGTTGCAACTCATTGTTTCTATATGGTGAATTAGCGTAAAATCTCCATGCATTTAAGCCTAACCTCCATGAATGCTAAAAATGTAGTTTTGTGGATTTTTGAATTTTCACTGTCCAACCATCCTGTAAACATGAGATTAGAAGTGTAAAACATGAAGCTTTTCTGTGAACACAGAAGTTAAGATTATGACTTTGGTGGAAATCATACACAGCTGACACTTAGCTTTTTGAAGGTAGGTGATGGGATAAACGATGCACCTTCTTTGGCTATTGCCAATGTTGGGATTGCCGTCCAGAATGAAGCTCAAGAAAATGCTGCATCTGATGTTGCATCCATTATACTTCTTGGCAACAGGCTTTCTCAGGTATGATTTGCTTTTCTGATAAAGTTCTTTGACGAATCTTTTCTTTTTCTTTTTAGATGAACAGTGAATCCCGAACTTCCCTTTTCCCTGTGTATTTCAATTCATATGCCCATAGGCATTATTTGTTGCAAAGAGTATTAAGATGATACGAACTTTAATTTTTATTTCCAGTTACATGGGAGAGGTTTGAACCTGAGACCTTTGGGGGGGGGGGGGGGGGGGGGTGGGGGTGGGGGTGGTGGTGGAATGGGTGTTGTTGAGCCACGAAGTTCCTTGGCAATTTATCATTTAATTTGTTATCAATGGGATTGGATTTTGAGAAGGTTGATGCAAACCTTGTCCAACAATTAGGAACGAGGTTCTCTTTCTGGATATTGAAAATAAAAGAAGAAATGATATTATATTTACAGGGTTTGAACCCATTGATGATACTAATGGGATTTCAGTCGTATCTGATAGCAAGTAGAATCAAGATAAAGCCTCATGAATGGTTCTGATATATGTCATGACAGGTTGTAGATGCCCTGGATCTTTCACGAGCAACAATGGCCAAAGTGTACCAAAATCTATCATGGGCAATTGCATATAATGTTGTTGCCATTCCTATTGCAGCCGGAGTACTGCTTCCCCAATATGATTTTGCCATGACTCCTTCGCTTTCAGGTGAGTTAAGTTACATTCCTCATTCCATAGTTGAAAAATTCCTTGAACTGAATGAAAACAGATGGCGTGCCATTAACGTGTCATAATTTGAACGAACAAGTCCTTGGCTCATCGTTGCATATGGATCCTGTCCTAGAAAATTTTCTTTCCATGCTTACGAATCGAACAATTACTGATGTTTGATTTGACAGGTGGACTGATGGCTTTGAGCTCGATATTTGTTGTCAGCAACTCATTGCTTCTACAGCTCCATAGGACTGAGAGGAACAGATAGAGAGCTACTTTACTTGCATATATGCCCAAGATTCAACTTCTTTATGAGATTGTTGTATAAATAATAGTGAGGTTATTCAAATACCCAGGAAGTAAAATGGAGAAGAATCGAGTGGAGTAAAAAATTCAGAAATGCCTCTCTGTACTTTTGTGCTAATTCTACCGTGTAACCATGGAAAATATTTCCGGTACAGGTTTTGCATGCCACGCAAATAAAATAAGATGTTATGTCACATCGTTGATTACTTGAAATCTATTCTGACAGTTGAATTTAACCATGCAGTTGGCATACATGTGTCCATGACCGAAAAGATTATGTACGCCTAATTTCTGAAGCAGAAACTGTCTATACTATTTCATGATTTCTTGGTGAAATTTTTTTAAATATTCAAGAGATAACTATTAATATTTATTTTATCAGCTTATCAAAAAAAAAAAAAAAAAAGGACGTGAAAAGATAAAATTACATTTTAATTCATCAAAAGTAATAAAAATATTTTGAACTAGATTTTATTTTTTATTTTTTTAATCTTTTTCTTATAGAGTAAGTCTTTTGAGTAATATAAGATTGCTCATCTTGAGTGGATGCATCATGTTTGATTAGTGTTTTAGAACATATGTAATGTGGTACTTATAAGGATAATGTATCCACTTATGCAGTTGCTGTATCATCACCGAATTTTTTGCCTACACAAATAAATGAAATAAAATAAAAGGAAAGCTAGACAACACAAGCGCGCATGCCAGGCTAGGCATGGCTGTCCAGGTCGGGTCCAAAAATTAGAAAAAGCGAAAAAAAAAAAAAAATTAAACCGACCTAAGTAGCAACTATACATGCATAGGGATGGCAATGGGCCCCCTCGAAAAATTTTATTCTATTCCTGCCTCATATTCTAAAAAGGGATAAAATTTATCATACCATCCCATTCCAAACAAAGACAGAGATCCTTACGAAGTAAAAAAATTATCAAATTTTGTTTTCATCTCGTCTTATCTAATTCTCCTATCAAATTTCAAAACATAAGAAAAAAAAATGATAGTTCATATATAAAATAAACTTTAAATGTCACTAATCACAAATTTTATATAGGATATAATTATAATTTTAGGAATGAAAATCATGAAATGAAATAAACAAGACAAGGCGGGTAAATATCATCACCGCCCAGCCTTGTTTCCTTGGTCAACGCGAGGAATCCTCACGTTGATCGAAGCAAAATAGGATGAGGCGAGGCTGAGGCTTCATCGGGACGAGACAAATTGCCATCCATGTACATCCATCTTATCCCAACCTCACTCAAATACACGCTAACACTTAGACAAAAAAATCTAGTAGTCAAGAATCGATGGAAAAACAAAAGCAAGAGAAAAAGATGATGCCTCTCGTAGTTCGTTCATCCTTCTTGAACATGTGCTAGCAATAATTGTTAAGAGAAGACAATCGCAATGCTCTAGAATGAGGCAATTCCAACCACAACAAAATCCTCATGCATCATTTCTTCATATGCTGTCTTTGGTGAGCTTTTATCTAATTTAGTTTCCAAATGTTTGATTTACGTATTTAAATCCCTCAGTTTTTTATTCCTGGTTTAATTTTTATCTGAATTTTATACGTTGCTTGGTTATCTTGTTGATTAGTGCTCTAGTAATATTAATTTAGATTAATATAAAATTTAGATTATTAATTAAATTAAAATTACTTAATTTCGAGCTTAATTAAAAGAAATTGGATTTGGAGTCCTGGATTTCATTTAACATTTTTAATAAAGACTATGAATCTTATTTCTTTGCTGTTTGTGTGTCTAAAGCTTGATTTGGAATAAGATGTGATATTTTTAGGGTTTCATCTTACTTTGATTGTTAATGTTTGTTTTAGTGTCATTTTTATTATTGATTAAGGGGTAAAGGGTGATAAATTCTATGTAGTATATAATCTTCTTATTTTACTTAATAAAGTCCCAAATAAACTATTGGTTGATGATGAAATTATTAATAGGCTAGTTTTTTTTTTTTCTTTCCTTATGGTGAAAAAGTAAAATAAGCCAATATGAATTAATAGACCAAGAACCTTGTAGAGGTCAATGGGCTATTTTATTTTCTATGGAGTCATCTTTATTCGATTTGTGGCCCTTGTATGTCTATTTTATAATGTCTCGCTTGTGTGTTTATTTAATGTGATGTTAATGTAGGTCAGTCTAGATGGATAAGTTTAAGATCTAAGACCAATTTTGTTATAATAATGAGGCCCTTTCTTATTATTATATATTTTCTTCTTCTTCTTTTTCTTATTATTATTTGATTTTATTTTTATTTTTTATTTTTCGTATGTCACTAATTTTGTCTTCGTGCATATTTGACTCTAAATTAGACACTAAGAGGGTGTTTAATAACCTATTTAAGTAACTAAAAAAATTAAGTTAAGTTACTTAATATAAAAAGTTTATTTGATAATATAAATGATCTCATATTTAAAATTTAAATTCAGCCAAAATCTACTTAATTAGATAAGTTAAAGTTTTTAACTTAAAACTTTTTTATTACCATGTTCGGTTGAAAGATTTTTCAAATTTTCTAAAAATGACTATATAGCTCTCATATATTTTTATAACCCTAATTATATAAACTGATTTCTACTATCTTCGTTTTCGAAACAATTCACGAGGCCATAAAGAAGTTCGTTACATTTTCCTCCTGCCAAGATTGCCTTATTACTTGTCCCAGTGCCAAAGTCTAAGGTGCCAGCACCTATTAATAGTATAAAATAGAATAGGATTTGAATCCAGTAGTCCCCCAAATCCCTATACATATTTAGGGATGAATGATGAGTAAATTTCAACAGTCGCCTCCACCAGCTTGGGTAATTGCTAGATTTGGTGAAATATTCTTCCAACAGGATTATAATTTATAATTTTGTAATTTGTTCATACCGGGAGTTGAAATGGAATGAGAAAGGAAGAAATGCAGGTGCTAAGAGATGGGAAAAAAAAGTACGATCAATTAAGGATTTGCTTATTCCTTGCATGACCAATTAAGAAAGTCAGGATTCTAGAAACAAAGAATATGTAGAAGAGTTAGAGAGAAGAGTGGCTCTTAATCTTATGTCGATGAAATCATCTTATAGCGTTAAGGATTTGCTAAAGGAGGGATCTCGTGGGGTTTCAATTCAACTAAGCTTGTATCATCATGATTCATTCAAGATCAAGAAGAAGATGAAACCAAGTGATTTGGGTAATTTATGTAAGCTACTTGCCTCTGCAGATTTAGTGGAGAAACATATCCTCCCTTTCTTGAATGAGGATCAAATTAGACAGGTTGAAGAGGCGAATCAAGAAATCAATGGTTTGAAGGTTTGGATTTGGGATATGAATATAGAAAGTATGCATCAGTTGGTTTTCAAAAGGTGGAGCACTTTTAGAAGTTATATTTTCAATTATGGATGGACAAAATAATTCGTTAAAAGGAAGAATTTGGTTGAAGGAAATGAATACGTGATGGGTTGCTATGACATGGTTGTAGTCTAAATTCCACACACTTGTGTGTGGTTTCTTGAATCAGAACAAACATGAAAAGAATATCAGAGGTGACAATTAATGCTATATTAGATCATGTTTATTTATTTTTTTATTAATAATCATTTTTATTTAATTTTAATTTTAATTTTTTTATTAATAATCTTTTTTATTGAATATTTATTTATTTATACACACAAACATTTATATATTTTTATTTGTGTTAAAAAATATCATGTTATTATTGCAGAAGTTTAAATTGTCACGTATATAGCCTTCATATAGTCAGCAACAATTATCAATAAAACTAAAGTGAAATATAGTTTTACTTTTCATTCACGATTTGAAACACTATTCATACACTAACAAGTTACTATTCACACACTCACAAATTACTATTCCTTTCACTATTCATAATATTTTTGTAACACTTTGGTCCTCAATTTTTTTATACTTTTTTTTTAAATTTTAAACTTTAATTGTATTATGATTTGGTCCCATTTTGTTTTAGTGTTTTTTATTAATTATTTTTATTATTAAAAATTTACAACTTTAATTTTTCATTTTTTTAAAAATTTTCTTTCTTGTTTCAATTTCAAACTTTAATTATATTGTGATTCGGTCCTATTTTATTTAAGTATTTTTTTTAATTATTTTTATTATTTAAAAATTTACTACTTTAATTTATCATTTTTTTTAAATTCTCATCCAATTAATTTAAAATTATATTTATTTATAGTTTTGATTTATTTTTCTATATGTATAGATTTTGGAATAAATTTTTAGAACATGATTATTTTTTCTTTTAAAAAATAGATTTAGATAATTTTTAAATTATAGCGGTATGATTAATATATATAATTTTTCTGAAATACATTTTTAGATTAAAACTGTATTTTAAATAATTTTTTCTCAGTTTTTTTATATTATTTTAAATTTACTACATTAATGTGTCATTTTTTTAAAATTCTCTTCTTTTTTCTATGTTAAACTTTGATTATATTGTGATTTGGTTCCATTTTTTTTTTTAGTGTTTTTTGTTAATTATTTAATTATTTAAAATTTACTACTTTAATTTGTCATTTTTTTAAAAAAATGTCATCTAATTAATTTAAAATTATATTTACTTGACGGTTTTGATTTATTTTTCTATATGTATTGTTTTTGGAATAAATTTTTAAAGAATGATTATTAATATTTTTGAAAAATAGATTTAGATAATTTTCAAATTATAGTGCTATGATTAATATATATAATTTTTCTAAAATATATTTTTAAATTAAAAGTGTTTTTCAAATAATTATTTCTTGATTTTTTTATGTTATTTAAAATTTACTACATTAATTTGATATTTTTTTTAAATTCTCTTCTTCTTTTTTTTCAATTTTAAGATTTGATTATATTGTGATTTAGTCCCATTTTGTTTCAATGTTTTCTGTTAAATATTTTTATTATTTAAAATTTACTATAATTTGTCATTTTTTTTTAATTCTCACCCAATTAATTTAAAATTATATTTACTAATAATTTTGATTTATTTTTTCATATATATGGATTTTGAAATAAATTTTTAGAATATAATTATTTTTTCTTTTGAAAAATAGATTTAAATAAATTTTAAATTATAGTGGCATGATTAATATATATTATTTATCTAAAACACATTTTTAGATTAAAAGTTTATTTCAAATAATGTTTTATCGGATGTTTTTAGAAAAAACTCAAATTAATTAATTAATAATTAAAAGTCAAATTAATATAATATTATTCATTCTTTTGTAAATAAATATATAAAAATTAAATTCACATTTTTAAAAAATCGATATTCTCATCAACATTAAATAAATAAAAAATTATTTGTTCAATTCTATGTAAGCTTTTAATAATTGTTATTTATGTTTTTCGATACAATCTTATGAAATATTAAAGTTTTTTTTTAAAAAAATTATTTATTTTTCTTTTTAGTTAATAATCCATGGCTTAACAAGGATAAATCCTTTTTCTAAAGGAAAAATTATGAAAAAAACACAAATAAGAAATAGTTAAATACAAAATCTTTTATTAAAAAATTATTTTCACCTTTGATTTCATGTATTTTTATAGATTCACATCATAAAATAGATTATTAAACTGAAATAATTTTTTTAAACGATTTTATATATTTTATCCAACCCACAACGTAGCATGAAAAAAAAAACTAGTACTTACTAAAATCTTATTATATTCATCACTTAATTTTTAGTAAAAACCAAATAGCTTGTTAGTAACATATTTAGCACTTGATTATTCATGACTTAAAATTCGAGTACTTAACATATTCAACACTTAATTTTTAGTTTTATCAAACACCACCTAATTTTTGGGCTTAGTTTATTACCTTAAAATGGCATGGCGAGGTTGATATAAGCTTAAGGCCCATGTTCATGATTTTAGATTTTTGTTATCTTGAACTTCTATTTTTTATTATATGGTTTAGTATGTGAATTTAGATCTATGGTGCAAATTGATTGTATTTTATTTTTATATTTTTGTATAGAGGCTTGGGTGGTTTAATTTACAAATAGGCTTTAAGTATTGACTTTTACCTTTGAAATAGACTCTAATGGTCTAATGACATTTTAAATGAGAGACTTCGTCTTCTTTTAGTTTCAAAATCACTTCATTTACGACTAATTAAAAAAAAATCCAATAATCAATTCACAAATTGAGATAGAAAAATGGACACATAATGTGATGAGCTTCTTTGTATATCCTCTTCGGTAAAGAGATGATCCCTAGGTTTGGTCTTGAAGAGCCTAAGGCTAGGATAATTTCTTTTCAAAAGCCATTATTTGATATCTCTAAAGTAAATTCAAAATAATTCTTTGTGGTTCCTTTTTTGGGCTTTACATAAATAAATTCTCATAGGTTATAATTAGGTGATAACCTCATTACGAGGGCATGAGTACACACTCTGGGTGATTGATATCTTTCTTAATTGTCCAACCAACCTCCTTACCCAAAATTCTTAGGTCCGGTCTTTTGGATTTTTTTTCCCGTAGTCTTTGACCTTTAAGAAAACCAAGTGGCAACTTTACTTTTCAAGCATGCCTATTCTTACAATCATCTAGAGGTCATTGTATGAAAAAATGGTGACTCTATTAGGAAATAACGAATTAATCCATATTTTTCTTTTCTTTTTTTGAGAAATATCTTTGCTATTTCATGTTTCGTCTTTATTGAATGTATTTCCTATCATGATTCATGATTGTTTTGCCTTTTTTTGTATTGTAAAGTGTTTTATCTTGTTTTGCAAGTTGAATGTGATGTTGTTATTGTTCTCCCACACACACTCTTTTAACACATGATACCCATATATAAGGATTATCTTGGGGAACGCAATGGCTTTTGACTCGTAAGTTGTTTCTAAAGTCTTCCATTTATATTATAATTCGCCCTATGCACACGAGCTCTTGTAGGTTTTAATATCCTTTATGATTTAGAGTTAAGATTGAGTTGCCTAACTGGTAACTTGGACAATCTAGGAGCATTTTAAAAAAGCTTTTAAGATTAGATAATATCATCCAAACCGCACTTAATGACCTAGAGCCTATCCTATGGTGTGCTTATATAAGACAAAGAGAGATTTATGAATGTCTATTTTTTATTCCATTAGGATGTATCATGGTTGAGCAAACAAAATTTTAGCATGAGTTTATAGTTTACTAGTTAAGTCAAAAGAAAAACGAAGTTGAAGGTGTCAAAGAATAAATTCTCATGGAAAAAAACTAAATGATCATCACTTGAAATAAATTTTACTATATAACTAACTCGTATTCACCCTAGAATCAACTATTATATTTCTATTTGATCAATTAAAGTTATTACATTTCATTATAAACTTCTATAGGTATTGCTTCCTTGTTAAGAATTTATAAGTGTCTTTCATTACGAGGATGTTGAAAAGAAATTCTCTCTACACATCCTCGAAAAGACCAATGTCCTTGTCATGAAAGACTTGAAGGACATTAGCTGCAACAATCTCACACCCAATCTCAATTAATAGCAACCTTAATGTTCATACCATTAGCTTGTTGTTGTGTGTAGAAATATAGTTCGTATTGTAAAATCTCAACCTTTGCTAAAGGTCTACAATATCAAACTTCGAAAAAGATAAAGAATAAGGAAGAAACAAGATAGAACAAAATCATACTAAGAAAATTAAAGCCCTTGTTGGAGAAATGGCTTGATTAACTAGTTTGATAGAGTAACAACTTTAAACATGAAAAACGAATAAAGGGACATCCAAGAGAGTTAACTCATCCATAATACTTATTATTGAAGGACCCATCACCTTTACTACATCCATTATAAGGGAAACACTACGATTTCTCTATATCATCGGTCCTCATTTAATCATATCCATCCTTTAAGAGACACCACTCAATCTACCATAGTCGGGATATGAAACTTAATTCATTATATAAGAATCATCATATCCTCATGTTCCATGCTTATTTATTGTGATTCCAAAAAGCTATGTTAGTTAGGTAGCTCTAACTACTAATATTGTTATTGAAGACTAGGTCAAAGATAAAGTTAAGGAGGAAAATGAATCTAGTAAACTTCGTCTATTGGAGAGCACCTAAAGGCTATTAAAGGTGTAGATTTATATGACTCGGTTAAAGCCATTAAAATATGGTTGGAATCCAATGTGGTTGTTGATGGAGGCTCGTGATGGCAAGTTAATGGAGTCGCCACCAAGTAATCAAGGAGAACTAAGAAATTTTAAAACTAGTTTACATAGATACTTGGTAAGGGGTCGATTATATATGGAAAAGATATAACATCACCATCATATTGTCTTACCCGAGGTAGGCTATATTGAATCTATGGGAAAATAAAAGTATAATTTTATCATGTTATGTATATATGCCTATTTAAGTGAATTTATTTTATTAGGATAGAATCATAGAGTAATTCGAGGTTTTAAGCCGATCCAAGACCAATACCCATACTCTTGGTAAAAAATT